CCCCCAAACCCCTCGGCCCCCTCAATTCCCTTCTAGCTTAATCAAAGCCACCCAGACACCCAGGTCCTGAGCCAGCCCACCCAGAGGCGCCCCCGGTTCGACACTATTCAAGCCAACATTTTTGGTCGAGGTGGGGGGGGGGGGGTACCCCTCCATTATTTGGGCCGCAACATTAAGGGCTCTATATACGGTATCTCCAAGCGTTTTTAGAGGGGTTCGACGAGAGCACGCAGAGGGGGGATGGAGGATTCGGGGCCCCTCTGGGTTGGAAGTGATTAGGGTTAAGTGGACGTGACCCTCTTACTACAAGAGTGAGTCTGTCTTCTAGCATCTTCAAGGGGACTCTGAATTATGATTCTGACAACCACAGGAACCCTAAATCCTAAACCCCTAAACCCTGAACTCTAAACACCTTCTCGCTTAAACCCGGACATGAATCCTAGACCCGATTTGACTCGGAGCTCTGTCGTCCGAACCGCTATCGTAGAGGCCTCCATAACTAGAAGAAGCATACCTACAGTAGGGATTTTCAGGGGACAGTGTTAGCAGCAACTGCTCAAATCCCTAATCTGCAGCCCAAAGGCCCCAAATCGTGAACCCTAATGCAGGGACGGTTTAGGGTTGAGGGCTTAGCCTTAATTAGAATTGAGTTTTGGGGTGTATCATATATATCCTTATTTATAAGGAGAACCAAACTCTAGTAATGCTAATTATTTGGGCCCTTGTACTGCCCTAAGGGAGCAAGTACCTAATATTCATGTACTCTCCCAAAGAGTAACCTACATAACTACTGTCCGAAACCTAAGTACCTAATTCTTGGGTCCTTTGGACCCTTAGGGTTTCTTACCCCCGGACGCTCCTCCGCACTCTTGACAGGCTGAAACCAACCTTGGGCCGCAGCTTCAGGCTGTAAAGACCAGGTTTTTTTTGCCCTAGGGCTGAGGGTTGAGGGCTTTGGGTTTAGGGGCTGAGGATAGGCTCAAAGTTGAAGGACTGTGTCGAAGGGGCTGTTGAAGAAGGTTTAACGCCTTCAGGCCACCTGGCACCGAAGCACCACCGGCACCCCTGGACAGGTTGAAGGGGCTGTTCGAGGCATCTTGGATGAGCCCCTGTCAAAACCCTAAACCCTGAACCCTAAACCCAGGCATTTCGCTGGCTTCCAGAAGATTCGGGCTGGGGTGTTCCGGCTTGGCAGTGTGCGCCGAAAGCTTCTCTTGAGGCATGGTAGGGCTGTACGGGCATAGTTTCGGACGGAAGGTGTGCCTGGGTGTATGGCTTCCTGGAAGATGTGTGATTTGAGGCTTTGGGGATGCAGCTTTGCAAGGTGCGTAGGGCGGCTGATCTTGACCACTAAGTCAGAGCCGCCAAGAAGTTGCAGGAGCACGGAATCTTGTAGAATCTGGATTTCAGGTTCACGATGGAGCAGGACTTCGAGAGTGGACTATTTAACTGGAACTACATATTCGTTATATATATATATAAAAGTGCATACTTCATTTATTTATACTCATTTACTGACTAGTCCTGCATTGAAAAGACATTTCATTCAATAATCAAGCGGCTCTGCAGCATCTCATAAATGAGCTTCCGGTCACACGGAATTTGCTGCTTCGTTACCTGGGATGGCCAAAGATGCACAAGCCCTTTCAGGGTTTGGGGTTTGGGGTTCAGGGGTTAAGACTAAAACCCTCAACCCACCCTAAACCCTAAACCCCTAAACCCCTAAACCCCAAAGCCTCAACCCTAAACCCTACTCCCCTAAACCCTAAACCCAAAGCCCTAAACCCCAAACCCCCGAGCAGCTTTGGAGGGTTCCTTACCAGCTTGCAACTGCTTCGAGGAACCCGGCCTCCCCTGTAGATCTCTGTCCTCAAGGCTAAACCCCAAACCTTAAAGTACATTATAGTATAGTATGGTATAGTATGGTATATTCTAGTATACACCGAAATTTCATGGCACTAGATGGTAGTATATCATGGCATGTTATAGTATACTCTAATAACCCCTGAACTCCAAAGACACCTGCACCTGCAGCTATGCTGCTGGATCAACGTGGCCTTTCATGCAGCAGGAGCAACCAGCGTCCTGAACTCGGAAGCTGTGCAGCTGCTTCGGCAGCTCTGCTATGTCCTCCGGGGGACTCCAGTTGAGGGCAGTGTAGTGATTCTGTCAAGGGTTCCCTCTATTAAAGGTACTGTAGGCCTACAGGGTTTCTAGGGGATTAAGGGTCTACTTGGAGGTTCATGGGTAGTTATAAGTGGGGTTATAAGTAGGGTATATATAGTTATAACCCATATTGAGGGACTTATAACCCCACTTATAACCACCCCCAAACCCTAAACCCTAAAAAACCCTATAAAACCCTTTAAAGGAAACCCTTTAAAGGAACCACCCCTAAACCTCCAAGCAGGGGACCGGGCCTGCACTGTTTCATATTTCAGTCAAGCATCTTCGATCCTAAATTAGGGTTTAGGGTTTAGGGAAACCAACGACGAAAGGCCTTTGTACCTAGAATAAGGTTTTGGGGTATATTCAACTGTATGTATGTCGGAACTATGATAGAAGGGCACTACTACTATCTACGATCTACTCGACCCCGATATTATAAAGATAAACTCGAATGATTCTAGGACGACCCTCATATGGTCCCTGGATAGTCCTATCAGTTTTATACTAGCCGCACGGTCCCGCAGCATGTTTGTCAGGACATAGTACACGGCTGGCCAAATTGTGAGCTGCTGAGCTAGAAACACCTGGGTTCTTGTTAAGGGGTTTAATTTCAAGTTACCATAATAAAAAACGATGTTAGTTACACTAGATCCCTCTTATGGTAACTTAAAGTAAATGTTAGTTAATATAGATCCCTCTCATGGTAGCTTGAATTAAAATTCGTAACAAGAACCCAGACACTCCACCAACAATCCCCAGATAGCCGACGATAGAGTCGCCGTAGAGCCCAGAGATGTCTGCGATGTATAAAGTCGTCCGAGTAATCCAGACCTCTGCTCCCCAGTAGCCCCCGTAAGAGTAAGGGTTTAGGGCTTTAGGGTTTTAGGGTTTAGGGCTTAGGGGTTTAGGGCTTTAGGGCTTTAGGGGCTTAGGGTTTTAGGGCTAAGGGTTCAAGGTTTAGGGTTTAGGGTTAGCCCCCTAACAAGAAAGGCTACCCTTTTTGCTATTAGTTGGTCTCAATAAGGGAACACAAAAACATGCAAAAGGGCAAAAGGGTACTAACAGGGGAGCCAAGAAACTACGAGATAGATGAGAAACCACAGGGTTGGCACTTGAAGTGGGATGAAGAGAATATGATCTGCCTGGTTCTGCTTCAAGAAGAAGGCCACTTCATATGTGCACCAGAGGCGACGAACGAAATCGGGCGACCACAAGACTACCAACTTATCCGATCGGCCAAGGAAGGAGGAGAGTCCCCGGACACATTTTGCCTTCACGGCATCATCGTCTTGAGGTATGCACGCGCAGTCGAGGAAGACCATGGGCTCGCTGCAAAGAATTCTTCGGAGATCTTGCCAAAGGAACAGTACTGATGCTGGCACGAAGTGTGCGAGTATCGGCATCCAGCTGGCGAAAGGCATGATTTCAAGAGAGGTCAATGTTCCCAGGATTAGCCCCGTGAGGAAAGCAGCCATTGCTGCGGGCACACCATTGAAATGAACTAAGAGAGCCTGTGCTGAACGTGGCACCCTTGCAACAAAAACTAATCCCAGGTGTTTGTTAGGGCTCATAGCCACCAAAAATCAAAAACTGTTTCCCAGTAGTTACCCCGAAGGAGCGAGGTATTTCGACCAGGACGAAGCTGCCCAGGCATGACTGAGGAAGTAGGAATAGCGGCGGGTCGTCTGTGTAACACCTCGGCGAAGCAGCGTCACAAGCATCAACCGCCACCAAAAAACACTGCTGTACACCAGAAACACAAACGACACCTTTACTTGTAGTCCACGAAAAGGAGCCCCGGAAATCAAACAAACATGATGAAGACGCCTACAGCATCTCTGCCGTGGCACCTGAACGAGTTCCGCCTAAACGATTCCACAAGCTGCGTCCACGATGGAAGCAAACGTGCAGCGGAATTCCTTGAAGAAGTTCCGGCGAGATCTCTGCCTTGCCGTCATAACTGTCTATGCATTATAGTATATTCTTTTATAGTACAGCACAAACTATGACATGATAGTGTTCTATATTATAGTATAGATAGAACCGTATAGTACAGTATCGTATATAGTATAGTATATAGTATAGTACAGTCTGGTATAGTACAGTAGAGTATAGTATAGTACGGTGTAGCATAGTATTGTATAGTAAATGTATAGCTCCGGGTTTCGAGGTGATGAAATCCAAGGCTGTGTTGTACCGGTTAGAGTTACTGGTCTTATAACTGTCGGAGCGTAGGGCTGTACCCAGAGAACCCAATACCCCTTAATTAAGGAAGATGCCTTAAATTATAGGGGCTTCAATATTATGATTTATAAGGTATATTCCTTAACTAAGGGGTATTGGGTTCTCCGGGTAGGCATCAAGAAGAAATGCTCCAAGAAAGCTTCGCGCTTCGCATAGCTAGTCGGCCGAACACAAATCCTAAACCCTAACCCCTAAAGCCCGCACCTTTAACCCTGAACATAAACAACTAAACTCCTGTTGCACCTGGCGGGACTTGGATTCGGAATTTCGCGCTCCAAAGCGCGCTTTGATTCAGCATCCGGGAGGGTTATTTATGGACGTGCCAACGACCTCGTAGTTCCTAAGCCGCTACTTCGGAAAGGTGGGAGCGATGCTTGGGCCGTCTAGGTCCCAACAGCTATGTCTCGGGTGCTACAGGGAGTCAGGAAGGATTCGGAATCTAAACCCTCTAAGCCCACACCCCTGAACCTCTCAACCCCTTAAATCCCAATGCCGTGAACTCTAAAAGCCCTAATTAAGCCCAAGAAGTCTGAAGGCCCACCCATAGTCTTCGCCGAAGCACGAAGCGGTCGTCCACATTCTCGGTGGTGGATGTCGCTTCATTCATGGCGCAAGTTCTCAAACCATGGACGCTACGCCCTTTTTAGGGGGTTCGGAGACTCTAGGGGGCTCAAAAGACTAGATCGAACGCACGGTTTAGGGTTCAGGGTTTAGGTTTCAGGGTTTAGGGCTTAGGGTTAGGGGTCCGGGCTAACCAGTCGGTTGCAGATGTCAGAGGATGAAATGAACTCGCATGCCCCCGGAGCCCGGAGCAGGTCCTGCGCCTGCGGAGCACCGGCGGTTGAGGGCTCATGACTAGGGTTGATGATCTAAATCCTGCATTACCCATTTTAAGGAATATACCCATCGTTCCCATAGCTTAGGGTACTTAAGGTAATGCAGGTTTTCTACCATCAAACGTATTGCCCAAGAAGCCTGAAGATTCGAAATTGAGATCCTGAGTCCTGAAGCTACAAACCATCACATACATTGACTGTTGACATAAACCTTTCTGTGATACATTTTCCTACTACCTACACTTTTCTACACAAATTCTGATAAACCCCAGTTAAAGCCTCAGGAACTTGCATGGAAGGGCATCACCACCAGAGCCCGCTTGCCCAGCAAAAAGGCGGAGCAAAAACCTGGCCAGGCAGATCGGAAAGAGGGTTTATGACGTACGGTTTACGGCTCAGTAGGGGCCTTGACTGTTTTTTTTCACTATAGCATTCTAATTATAACCACAAGAAGAAGCCCGATGAGGAACAATGAGGAATAGTTTTGCCACTTGTTCAGGCTACGCCTCTACGGCTTCGGGTTTCATGATAAGAGTAGAGGGTTGAAGGGTGGAAGTGAGGCTGTCGGGGATGCAGACTTCTGCTCTAGGTGTTTCAGGGCTTCGAGAGAAAGCCCCTGAACTCCCACAAAGGCTTAAGGTTCAGGGTTTAGGGTTGAGGGGGGTTCAATGGTGTTTGGAAAACTTTCAAAATCTTGTCCGGCAATCCCTGGAAACTATCAGAAAAAAAAACTCTAAGCCCCTTGGGCCCCTTGGAGCTATAGTACCAATACTGGAAGGGCCCCCTTGAACTCAAACTACAGCAGGAATGAAAACAACATCCTTAGGAGGGCCTAAGCATGAAAAAATACCCCCAAGCTAAAATGCTCTGAATCCATAAGACCTAACTCCGTAAATCCCACTCACACCTAAAGGGACCCGGTTTAGGGCTTTGGGGACAGTTCAAGGAACCCTTCAAGCAACCCTACGGCCCTGACGTCCAAGAGTGCCAGTGATGCTCCAGGAAGGAGTCTGCCACGCTATTGCAGGAGCTACAATCCTGAAAGGAGGGGCTTAAGCTCTATAGGTTCCATAGCGTATTTTCTGTAGGGTACCATGAAGGTTCCGTGAGGGTTCTGATGGGTTTAGGATATAGGCTATAAAGCCGAACGCACCTCTACAGTATGTACAATCTAGACAGGAAGGCTCCATGATGGTTCTATATGTGTCCTATACGCGCCTATAAGGGTTTGGTGTTCAAGCTACCATCATGAAAGGAGGAGACTTGTGTTCTGGCGGGGTCTTTAGGGTGAAATTAGGTCAAACCCTCAACTATAAGTTCCATAAGGGTTCCATTACGGTTCCATACTTAAGCAGTTCTAGCGTCAATCCTACAAGGAAAGCCAGGGCTTTGTGTCTTTAGGGTTCAAGATTTTGGGCTGACAGGTCTTCAGATTCTTAAGGTGCCGGGAGTTGGCCGATGTGGTTGACCCGGCCATGTCGAGGACAACACTGTTATCGACTGGGAGTAGCCTGACCTTAGCTGCCGAGCTCATAATCCCAAAATAGCCTAACCTGTCAGTTTCAGGGGTGTTGTATTTAAACAACAAGGCCTGAAGTTTGGTGGCAACAAGGAGAAAGGAGACGCCAGTAGCAGCCGACAATCACAAGTCTTGACTCCCTTCCACAACTTCTTGAGAAGGCGCATTGTTTCCGTACCCCATGCACCCACCCTCTTCCTCAACCTGAAATTTTCCTTCGGTATCCCGCTACCTATCGGAACCTCAAAACCTGAGTGTCTGCATGCATGCATGCATGCATNNGACACACACACACACACACTCACCCATATCCATTCATCGATCCCGCCATCCAGCCCTCCGTCCATCTCCGTCCATGCATCCATCTATCCATCCGTCCATTCCTCCATCCAGCTGCATCCATCCATTCACATCCATCCATCCATCCATCCATCCATCCATCCATCCATCCATCCATCCACCCAGCCAGCCATCCTTCCCCGCCCGCCCGCCCGCCCATCCCCCCCACACACGCACACACACACATGTTCCTAAATGCAAATAGTATACATTTAATGAAACATAAACACACGCACATATATATATATATATGTGTGTGTGTGTGCACACATGCATACATGCATGCATGCATACAAACATACATGCATGCATGCGTACATGCATACATGCATACATGCATACCTGCATACATACATCCCTACATCCATACATCCATACATCCATACATACATACATGCATACATGCATACATGCACACATGCGCACATGCATACATGCATGCATGCATGCATGCGTGCATACATACACACATACACACATACACACATACATGCATACACACATACATGCATACACCCATACATGCATGCATGCATACATGCGTACATACGTCTACGAGGTCCCTCATGCTTTGAAAGCATCAAACCCCCAACTGACACCCTGCTCTGCGGGAACGTCGAGTCCGAAGCCTGAGCAACTCCAGAGTCTGCCGAAACCAAAAACCCCAAAACGAGAGACTCTTGAGCCTTGGAAGTTTAGGGTTTAGGGGTTTAGGGTTTGGGGGTTTAGGGTTTTATAGGGTGTCCAAGGGTTTCCTTCAAGGGGTTCTAGAAGGGTCTTATAATAGGAATAGATGAAGGTTCTACCAAGACTTCTATTGGTCTGCCTAAGGTTTGGGGTTTGAGGTCTTCGCTCAGGCTCAGGTTTACCCTAAATCCTGTACCTTGAGAGCCATGCAAAACCCCCTAAACCGTAAACCCCGACGCTCTATCGCTAAACCCTAAACCCCAAACCCCTAAACCCTAAACCCGTAAACCCGTAAACCCGTAAACCCTAAACCCCTAAACCCCTAACCCTGAACCCCCAAACCCCTAAAACCCTAGACCCTAAACCCGAAAACCCACTGCTGGGATTGCCACCATCTCCTCTAGCCCAGGCCTCGGTTAGGGCGGTTAGGGGAGGGGAGGGGCTGGCCTTTAGGGTTCAAGGCTTTAGGGTTAAATGTTTAGCGCTTTAGGGTTTAAAGTTCATAGGGTTTAGGGCTTTAGGGTTTAGGATTTACAGGGTTTAGGGTTTACAGGGTTTAGGGCTTTAGGGTTTAGGGCTCTAGGGTTAAATGTTTAGCGCTTTAGGGTTTAATTTCATAGGGTTTAGGGCTTTAGGGTTTAGGGTTTACAGGGTTTGGGCTTTAGGGTTTACAGCGTCTGGGGCTTTAGGGTTTAGGGCTTTAGGGTTAAATGTTTAGCGCTTTAGGGTTTAAAGTTCACAGGGTTTAGGGCTTTAGGGTTTAGGGTTCGCAGGGTTTGGGCTTTAGGGTTTACAGGGGCTTTAGGGTTTAGGGCTTTAGGGTTTGGGGTTTATAGGGTTTAGGGCTTTAGGGTTTTGGGGTTTATAGGGTTTAGGGCTTATAGGGTTTAGGGTGTGGGGTTTGGGTTTTAGGTGAAATTGTAGTGGCCTGCATAGGTGGAGTAGGGTCTTGGGTTTTTTGAGTATGAAAACAATAAGGATCCCGCCCAAACGCCAGGTGCGCGCACACTTGGAGTTGAGGTATTTAGGCTTAGGGTTGAAAAGCTTAGGGATTAGGCCTAGTGGGTCTCGGCTCAGGATTGCGGGTCGGCCTGAATGAGATTTTATGCTCCTTTCGTTGCAAAGCAGTAGGAGTAGTTGTGGTAAATAGTATTTCTATTGGCTACCGCTATAATTGAGGCCGGAGAGAACACGCGGAAAAACAATTGTAAGGACCTAAAGTCCCAAAGCAAGGTCCCCACACAAATCAGTACCTTTCATTACCGTGAGTGTGCAGGGGTCTTTTCCGTAGAAGGCTGTAACCTGCTTGCAGTTTGCTGGATTCTTTAGAAAAGCTAAAGAACTAGTCCTTCTTTGAACGTTGTGGTCATGTCTCTGTTTGGGGTTAAGGGCATGGAGTTTGTGAGAGGGGCCTTAACCCTAAACCCCAAAGCCTAAACCCCTAAACCCTAAAGCCCTAGAGCCCTAAACTCCTAAACCCCCAAACCCTAAACCCTAAGCCCCTAAACCCTAAACCCCTAAAGCCCTAAACCTCAAGCCCTTTGCGTTCAGGGCTTCTGGTGGAGGGGTTAGGCCTCCCAAAAGCCTCTCATCGGTTTAGGGTTTAGGGGTTTAGGGTTTATCTACATTCTCGGGGTTGCTCCTCGTTCTACTTACCGGAGTCCCGGACTTCTTTTGTCTAGTCTGCTTCCTCTATTTTCTCCTTAGGGGCTGAGTACCCTAGCCAAAAAAGGTTAACCTTTCAAATATGGTGGGATTATAGAAGCCCAAAAAGGTTAAAGGTTACCCACTCAGCTACTAAGTCTCTGCTTCTGGCCATGGAAAGTTGGGATCTATGGCCTGTTTGGCCTTTTTGGACTTGGGGCTCAAGTTGGTTCTGCCGGACCGGAAGCTCGCAATAAGCCCTAAACTTTACTCGGGTCTGCTTAGGGTCTTAGGGCTTGGGCCACGGGTTCGGGAAGCTCAGGCTTGTGGGTTTTGGGTATGGGGGTCCGCAGGAAGCGACAAGGCCCCGGCATGCGGCAGCAGGGCACTAATCCTCAGTTCCGGTGGAAGGATGGCGGGTTTAGGGTGAAAGGTCTTAGCGCTCAGGATTGAGCTGCTTGGTCGACATCCCACTGGTGACATTCTTAGCTCGCCTGAGCCGGCGAACGCTGATAAAAGCTTGCTATGGGGCGGGGGAGCGGGGGGTTTGGAAGTAGGCTCCGGATCGTATGCACAGTAGCT